TCCGGAAGCCACCATAAGACTGAAAATTACCGACATGGCGACCCTAGCGGGCCTGGGGCCTCGACTATCCTCGCTGATGAGGTCTTTCGGGCCCTAGATCAATAAATACGTAAATACATAAATACATAAATAAATAAATAGACAAATAATATATATAAATATACACATACATACATACATACATACATACATATGTATGTAGCCGAGTTAAAGCCCGTAAAACAGCAGAACATGACACCAGGGCGTCACACACTCTAAAACAACTTCGGCTGAGACCCCATGGATGCGAGGTGACCATCTTCCTGGTCTACCGAGTCTACTTCTTCAACTCGATGAGCTGAGGAAGACGCAAAAAAGGCTATGTGTCAGGGACGTGAGAATTGTGCCCTGGGGTATGCAACTCGTACCACGGTTGATGATTTTCGGGTTTCTTGGTACCACTATTCATCCCTATGCTTTTGAAAGTTGTAGGCGTTGGGGATGTCGGAATGGTTGAAGTTGAATTGGCTGAGGATTCAAGGCTTATCGGTGTGGAATGAGGAAGTAGGGCTACTCCCACTGGCATCCCGCTTGATGCAACGACGGCCACGACGAATCAAGCGTCTCGGATCGAGTGACAACCACTGCATCTCATGAGTCATGGCGAGCACCCGAAAACCGCACAAGCTGTCTAGTATCTATCAGGTTGTGCAAGCCCTGAATGCAGCTTCTGCTCAATGTACGATCGTAGATGTGTTGGTACCTCAATTCATGTCATCTTTGCTTGGACGATCCACCCCTTGACTCAGGTCGTCGCAAGGATACTAAGACCACTAAGACTACTCAAACTCACATGCCAGGATAGCATGACAACCAACATAATCGAAGTTGATGCGGCAGCAACTGGTCATACGTACCTTCAATCACGTCACAGTAGTACCGATATTTTCCAACCGCGGCATCCATAGCTAGTAGAAACCGAACACGTACGAGGCAATCATGAGCGTCGGCTTTGCAAGCATCTCCATGCCGTGAGGGCTAGCTGTCATGGGCCGGGGTGAGGGCAGAGGCATCAGTTTCGCATGAAGCTGCGGCGTCCCGGAGCCAGGGAAGTCGTAGGACTTGAAGGGGCCTTGCACGTGCGAACCCCTTCGTGGCTTTTGGAAGATCGTGGGATTTGAGCTGCACGGTAGTTGGAAGCCCGGCGGTTGGGGATCCAGTTGGTGGCTGGTTGCTTGGTTACTTGTCCTTAACAAGGCATCCCAGTCTTAAGTTTTAAGTGAACCCCCGGTGAGGGAGGTACCTTGAAAGGAAGTCTAAATCAAGGCTCCTCCCCCAATTCTGTGTCATCCCGATAACTCGCAATTCTCGTGGGTCATTCCAAAACCGGCCACAACTCCCAAACCCCAAGCCCTGAGAACTCAAACCCTACCCCCTACTTTTCAATAGACCCCTCTCCCTACCCTAAACCCTAAATCCTAACCAAGAGGAGGTGTCAAAAACAAAAAACCTTGGAACCATCGCATTAGTATTCGTGTTGCCACCCAGCTGCCAACATCCCCAAGCCTTCCAGGCCTTCGCCGCCCCAAAGAAAAGGCGAAGGCCAAGGCGAAGGCCAAGGCGTGGCGGTTGTGGGTGTAGAATATTGTAGAGTATTTTTAGGGTACAGAATATACAAGAGGTTTCTGATCTAGGGCTTGCAGTTTCTGTGTTTTTTGTGATCGTGTTTCGGTGTTCGGGTGATAGGATTCACGGTGCATAAGGCGCATCTTCGGCATCGCGTTGGTGTTGTAGAAAACACCTCAGAAGGCGCTAGCCTCGTAGAAATCAAAGCCAGAAACTAGGGACCTATACCGATGGGATTTGGCCGAGGGCTCCGCTTTAGCGGGCTTTCAATAAGAACAGTGCGAGACGAGTTGGATTAGTGCATTTGCTCGCGGCTGTTGCCTGTTGAGAGAGCACAAGCCATGTCCTGATGAAACGATGGAGTGTAAATTTTCGACCAATGGAGTGGCTAATGTAGGGGCCATAATAATTAGAATAGGGTTTTGGGGATATTATACTAAAATCATAATAAGGAACCCCCAAAATCCTATTCTAATTATGAAGGCCCCTACATTAACAAGACTAGTCTTCCGAAAGGCCTTCCAAAGAGCTCTACGTCCAGCGTTCATCATGTTGAGTCGGAAAAGATAAGGAACCTCAAGAGTTTCGATTCCTTTTCACAAGAGGAACTGCGACTTGAACCCACTCAGTTATCAAGACCTCAAGACCTTCTCCTTGTTCGTGTGATGCTTTACCGGGCCTTGATTGTAGTAGCTCTGCCAACCGCAGCTCCAGTGATCCATGAATGAAAGATTGAAAGAAAGAATGAATGAAAGAAAGAAAGACAGAAAGAAGGAAACGATGAAAGAATGAAAGAAGGAATGAATGAATGAAGCGGCACCCTAAGCCTTAAACCGCAAACCCCAAACCCGACCTCATGGTTGCCAGATGGCCCCGGCGCCTCCGGATCCAATGGAGGTCTGAAAAGGGAGTTTGTGGATGCTCAAGGTTGACAGTGCCGAATGTGTAAATATGCAGCTGAGTGCTGGAGGATTTAACCAGCTCAGGCGTCAGGAGAAGGAGCACAGAATGCCTGCGGACCAACAAAGCATGGTTTCGTATGGCCCTGTTCCCTACATAATCCATCCTTTCAATACTGCAACCGACCTGACCATCTAAGCGCGCATGGCATCCTTCATTCCCCTCACATTCTGCTCTGCTGCTTTAAAGCATAAGCATTCGATTCCGCCTGCTCAGCCTTTGCGAGGAGGCGGGATCGGATTCTCCGGCGCAAGAGGACAAGGAGGAGGAGGAGCAGGAGGAGGAGGAGGAGGCGGCGCCCGAGGCGCCTGAGGCCCAGACATTGAACCGTTGAATGTCGTGGCAGCATCATGAACTGCAGGGAGCAGGGGAAAGCATCGCAGCGGCAGCAGAAGCGGCTTAGCAAAGTGTAGGCGGTGCAGGGATGTGACTAGACTGTAGTGAACCATCATGAACCATAGCAGAGACAGTCCCTCCACAGCATCCTCACGCCCACCGGTGCCGCCGCTACGACGATGACGACCATGACGACGGCTGCTACCACCGCTACCGCTGCTACCGACGGCAACGACGACGACTAATTACTACTACCACTACGACTACGACGACGATCGACTACTGCTACCACCACCACCACCACCACCACCACCACCATTGCACTGCAATGGCCCACCCCACTTCGATCATGTCTAATCCGACGGTGTACAATAGCAGATGTCGCTGCGATTGTTGTTCCGACAGTGGCGAGGATGACAGCTGTTAGAACCGCCGCCACGGCTGTCTTTGCTTTACTGCCACTACGTTTATGTCTTCCCTGTCATTGCTAGAGTGTCTGTGTGTTTGTTACTGTCGCTGGAACGATTTGCTCGAGCCGCTCCGACCCCAGGTCGCATGGTGGAGGCCGTTCCGTGAGGGATGATGGCCCCAACGATTAGCAGAAGTTGGCTCCAGTAGGCTACAGAGGTTTACGGGCTGGGGTTTAGGGCCAACTTTGAGGTTTCTGGGAACCCAGCGTGGCATCTTGATCAGGCTGGGAGGACACACGCTTGAACCCGTCTGCGCATGGTCCAGCAAGGTACCTGCGAATGTCAAACTGCTAGGTCCTAGTTGCTCACTTCTACATGCTACTGTCCGCCATCGATACAGCCTGCAATCGAGCAGCCTGAATGGTGGACCTAGCAGAGAGATGTCGCCAGGGGACGACGCCGATGTGGCAGATGCCAAGGACGGACAAGATCTAAGAGCTGAGGGCTCGAGCTATTTCCATGATCGTGAAGTTTCAAGGGCCTTCGGGGTTGCAAGAGCGCCACAAGACGTTGAAACTAGCAAGAGGAGGCGCCTCTGCGGCGCTTCGAGGCCTTCGCCCGGGCAGCTGTTCGGATTCAACCCCTAAAATGCCAGCCACTCCTTTGTATTAGAGTAAATTATATGCTTTGTTGAGGATATCATCCTGCGACCCAAATCCCTGCTCTATGGATCCTGCCATGTTCAGGGCGCCATGCTACAGGGATTTCATTTTCCGGAAGAAACAGATGCGTCCACAAAGCCCTCGTGGGTGAGTAGCAGCAAGTTCGTTGCCGAAAAGCAGACGACAGCCCGACTTAGTAGCATCGTAGCATCACTAAGAGCTTGGTATTGACAGTTGTGCAGCCATATCAAATCATCGACCAGACTACTGACTCGGCTCATCCTTGCCATCATCATGAACCATGACTAAGTGAGTGCACATATTATATATATATATATAGGAGAGAGGGGTGGGCATGGATGGAAGGATCTATTGTAGAGAAGTGTAGTGCAGTGTATTGCACTGTACTGTACCTTGTTGCATGTATGTATGGATATCGTATACTCATGAGGTATGTTTGCGCACAGCTTTTTTTCATTTCATTCCTATGTCCATATCTATGTCTTTACCTATCTCTGTATCTACATCTGTTCCTATACATGCCTGTATCTGTATCTTTATATATGCGTAGACATATTTTTAACAACTGCTTATATGTTCATACAGATGGATGCATGTGCGTATTTGCCGATGCATATGCGTAAATTAGTGTAAATACATCTATGTACTGGGTACTGCCTCCCCCCCACTCTGTAACGGTTGGATTATGTTTATAATGTGACTTTATAGCCCTTAACCTTACCCCTTATATATATAATATATATATATATAGATATGTATGTATGTATGTATACATACATATATATATATACACACATATATATATACACATACACATGCACACACACACATATATATATATATTTATACATACACACACATATAAAAATATGAAAGTACACACACTCTCATGGCGGCTCGGAGAGCTTCTCTCATCTCGACAGGTTCTCGGCTTCCCTCACCTCGGCCTCAACCTGAAGCTGCGCCAGGCATCGACTGAGAGAGTGGAAGGGGTCTGGGGTTCCCTTGGTGCCGGAGTTGAAGGCTTTAGAGCAGTCGGGTGGGTTTGGTAGGGGTTTCGGGTTTGGGCTGTGCGGTGAAGGTTCAGAGCTTGAGGCTTCAGGTCTGAAAACTGGGGTGCCCCTTCGACCGGTGCAGCCAGCAACAGCAAAGTAGCCAAGAACTGTCACATCACGCTCGGCTGCGTTTTGGGCACCACACCCCCGGTGGACCCTGCAACCCAAAGCTTGCTTGGCTGCAGGTTTACGAGGAGTCGGAGCTGCGGCGAAAGTGTGGCAGCGATCAGGCTGAGTTCGAGGATTTTGGGGCTACCGCTGGGGTTTGTGATTCAACCATCATGAGTAAATCGGTGTGTAATATAAGTAAATCGACCCTCGCTCGATTAGTTGGAGAACCAAGCTTAAAAGTAAGCCGACCTTCAACCCGGAACTCCAAACGGAATTGGCCAATAGCAGCCTTGTTGCAGCAAAGATTACGCGAAAGGTTCGTTCCCAGCATGGCCTACTTCCTTAAACTTCAGACCAGCCATGTTGTTCCCTGCTGGCGCTGCACCAATGGCCACTAGGAAACCGGGTGAAACGAACAGTGGCAGGATGCCAAACCCAAGAACACCTCAGTTGATCGGATCACGAAGATACTCTCAGCACTGACCATACCTGGATTCGGTCAAGTCGTCCACAAAAGATCTAATTGTCGTTCACGCCATTGCCTTCAGCGAAATTTGCGGGGATTCAATGCTTCGACCGTTTTCTGTGCTGACGTCACTGCGTGCTGTTCGGACTGTTGAGAACAAGTGCCGGACTCATGTATGTGTGTGTGTGTGTGTCACTGTTCACATTCCTGCGGGCCAATAAACAATCGCAATTGCTCTTCCTGCTTTTGTGTTTTCAGTATGGGCCTCAGTTACACCGTCAGGATCAGCACTGCTGTTTTTTGCAGATCATGGGTTTTGAATTTACTGTCCTCCTCTGTGCTGCTACGAAAGTTTAGACTAGTGTTACCGCGAGCATGATCACTAGTGTCACTTGTTTGAACTATACTTGTGGACGTTCGTCCCGCTACGTGTATGATGATAACTCTTCTTTTTCATAGTTTGCTTGTTGAGGTCTCCTCGGGGACAGGCGGGTTCTGGCTGAATAGCATCCCCTGACAATCCATTCTGAGCCCCATGGTAACCTCGTTCTATGAGTCCTTCAACCTCTTTGAGGCTTCGGCGCCATCATTACTTCCCGCAGTGTTATAGATAAATTTCTAGATACATGTTGGATTCATCTATCTGTCCGGACCCATTGGCCAAAGATCATCGTTCTTCCTCGTGCTGATTCCCCCAAGCGCTTGCGAGGCGAAGCTTCGACGCCTGGAAATCGCGCTGAAGAAGCCTCGCGGCTGCAGTTGCTTGAGCAGATCTGGAGGTATCGGACACGAGATCTCTTACAACATAGGCCATAGGCCTTCGACTGTGGGACTCGCAGTATATGGTCGACGGAAGTGGGATGTCGAGTTTGCAAGTCCTCCCAAGAGTGTCTGAAGAACCGCCCAAGCCGCCGACCGAAATGTGTATGTGACCTTCAGTGGCCCGTGACAGCCCATGCCTAAATCCAAGACAAGCTGAGCCAAGCCCAATGGCTCTCCATCATCATCCATCATCATCATTTTCTTCTTCTTCACCTCTGTTGTCATCGCCATCTTCAGCCGCATCACAATTACCATGGTTAGCCAGGGTTGTCAGCCAAAGCAACACCATCCTAAGAATCATCATCACAAATCACCATCGTCATCACCAGCGACAGCACACCAGCATGATTATCATACGCATTATTGCTGGTGTTGTTCTTACGTTTACCCCCCCCCCCCCCCCCCC